CGATATGAGTTGTGTACTAGCATAATTTAGTATTGCAAACGTTCACAACTTCTAAACTATAAATCCGATCGTCTCGAATCTCATTCAATTTAACGTTCTTACTTGTTTGGGTAACGATATTAGTTGTATACTAGCATAATTTTGTATTGCAAACGTTCACAACTTCTAAACTATAAATCCGATCGNACAACTCATATCGTTACCTAAACAAGTAAGAACGTTAAATTAAATGAGATTCGAGTCGATCGGATTTATAGTTTAGAAGTTTTTTTGTATTGCAAACGTTCACAACTTCTAAACTATAAATCCGTTCGTCTCGAATCTCATTCAATTCAGCATGATAATATATGTCTGAAAATCTGCATCACTTGGAAAAAAAACTCAGTTCTTCCCCTCAAATCATCACTATATTCCTGCATCTGAAAGCTTCCGCACGGTTTCTTACAAGTCCTGATCAGACCACAGTGAAAGCCAATTAATAGACAATTTAGTAAAATTAAGAAAATGGTAGCAAATATCTCTCTAAAACTTTGTTTAATTTATGTATATGTTTGGTTTGTTTCATTTACTTGTCAACCCCCACAAATTCATTTCTCAAATATATGTGATAAATTTCCCCCAATTACTTTTGAAAAAGAATTCGGGTTCATGCGTACAACTGGTTACTCTTTTTAAATAGTCTGCGCAGACTACTTATGAAAAATCGTTTGGCGGCTTTCTGATGTAGGAGATGATGGCCAAGAAAAGTAAGTGAGGTGTTAGGTATTTAAAATTAGTGGGATTCCACCCCCTGTTCGCTACAGAAAATGTTCATACGCGAAGAAATAATTCAGTTAGAATGCGAAAAGACTGTGATAGAACAGCAAATAAGGTGGTTTCTGAATAACAATACTAACATCTAACAAACCGTTGACGTTTCATCGGTTTTCTTTTTTAAAAAATTACTACAACTGCTTGCAACACATTTTGAAATAAACTTAATATAAAACTAGCTGTTTCCAGCTTCTATGTTAGCTTATATCCAATTTTAACCTTGAAGATTATAAAATTTTATCTGTGACTGATTCAAGGCGGAAAGTCGATCCTCTCTTTATTATGGATATGTTTAAACATTTGACAAAAACACGAACTGCCACTATTTACAAACTATTTTTCAGATATCATTCAGAACGATAATCATATTTTAACACCATTTTAAAATATCTCTAACTACATGCCTCATTCTTTGAGAAATAGCTTTAAGGATGTTCTGTATTTACATCTGAATGACACGCAAATAAATTAAGCACATATATATATTTCAATTCAGTACGGTGCTTTTATTTATTTTTGCAGTAATATTTTTGGGCACTCTCATTTGAGTTGCACAAATAGAACTCTTCCAGTAAAAAATTCAAATTTTGCTAAAAATTTAAATATTTCTATTGTTTTTAATCCATAATTTTCGATAGTAGTTAATTTACAATTATATTTAAAGTTGCTTTCTAATTTACAATAATAAAATACTTTAATTTAGCGATTAACTGTACAAGCACTACTGAAATTCTTCATTACGTCAAAACACAATTATGTGTCGAGTTTCGTGCCTGGGCGAGGCTTCTGGGGGGATATATTGTGATTACAGACAGACACACACACAGCCGAGTTTATTATTATGTATAGATGATAGAAATGAATTCACTGAAAATTTTGAGCAAAACAATTGTAGACAAGCACGCAATTTATTTAATGCAGCGAAACTAATTTATGAAAAACATTAAAGCATAATTTAGGGAGGGGGAAATAATGCAGAGTATATTAAGAAGTTTACAATTAACTGTGCACTATACTTAAAAAAATATATTTTCCCCCATTTAAAGATAATACGTTTTAAGAACAATATCAGCAGAATTTACGCAATTCAGTCAATATTGCGTGTAAAAGTATGTCTATATGCATACATAAAATATATATTTTGGGTATATAAAATGAGTTACAGAAAACCTTATCATATAAATTTCTTCAAATTCACACACTGATGCTGGTACACATATTATTCTGGCGGATATTGTTTAAAATTATAAAAATTATTATTTATATAACTTTAACAAGTGTTAATGATGTGTATAATTATAATGTTTTCGTTAGTAATATGCATTTTCTGAATACGTATTTTATTATAATTATAAATTAAACTATATGCCGTTTTGCCAGTAAACATTAGAAAAAATGTGTGATTTTGAATATCTAATAGTTTTAACGGCATTCTCTAAAGATATAATGAATGCTACTGAAATTTCGGATGGAAAATATGTGTGCAGTGGCTATGAAGGAATTTTTCTACAAATTTTATTAGACTATCTGGGTTTAAGAGTGAAAATTACAAACTTCTATGATTTTCCACGCTTCGATACTCCCTTAGCATACGTTGACTATAACATATCACATATGGTATTTGGACAAATTCTTTTGAATTACGACAGATTTACAAAAGCCTCTATGAGTTTTCCTTATAACATTGTTCATGTTACATTTGTGGTAAAAAGATCTGTGCCATTATCGACAAAATTTGCATTTCTCTACCCATTTACTCTTAACACGTGGTTGGGACTCCTGTTTGCATTTTTATTACTTCCTATTGTTGCTGTACTCATGCTGGACATTAAAATAACTTATGTAAATATGTGCTTGCAGATGTTGAGCAGCCTATTAAAGCAAGGGTTACAGTTTCCGATGATATCTTTCAAGAGCAGATTGTTCTTCACTGCATTCTTTTTCTTCTCGTTGGTGGTCTCTTTCAGCTTTTCTGCAGTTTTTTTCTCCTTTATGGTGAATCCCTTAAAAAACCCACCAGTGCGGAATTTCAAAGAATTGTCCGAAGCCGTAAAAAAAGGTACTCACAAATGCTATGCTTTCAATTCATATGCTATCAGAAATGCACTGAAGCACTCCTCTTATGATTATGTTCGGACCCTATATAAAAACATTGAGAAAGCAAACACTTTTTATCAGGATACAAACTTTGATTACGATGAAACGCTTTCTAAAGTTAATGCAATTCTTAGAGAAGATATTTTCCTGGACTTGAAGTTCGGATCGAACCCCGACCTTTTCGTGTCAGACGACAGAATTTCACCCAGTATGATTGCATTATACATGGGTAAAAACTTTTGCCTGAAGCATAAAATTAATACTTTTATATCGCGGATTTGGCAAAGTGGGATATATCAAAAAATACCGAGAGACATTCAGATTCAAAAGTATATAAAAGAACCGAAAAAACCTTCCGTGGAAGATAACCAACCATTAAGACTACATGATATATCTGGTGTTTTAATAATATTACTTTTCGGTTATGTTATATCATCACTTGTCTTAGTAATTGAGATAATTGCGAGTAAGTTTAAAAAAAAATGATGATACAATTCAGAAAGTAAGGATTTGTTTATAAATAAACAGAATGACAAAATGTATTATTATTGAAGATATTTTATATAGTTTTGTTCTCAGCAAAAAAAAATTCTTTTTTATAAAGCTCATACGTTTGTAAGAGGAAGGGAAAGATATAGAATCCTTTTCATGGCGACAAAAAGTCACTAAAAATTATGAATAACTTACCTGTTGATTATAAAAACGTCAAAATATGCGCATCATAAATATAAACAAAAATGTTGTAATCGTAACTTACAACATTGTTGAAAAGTAATAATTTTGGAACTTTTCAAATGTATGTTTACGAAAAGAATTTTGGACAGTTTGATTACAGAAAGTTTATAAGTGAGTAGCAGCAGACATGCATCAGGTGTAGGAGGTAGGGGGTAACGGAATCCTTGCACCCCCAATAGACAGTGCGAGAAAACATTATCACTCTAAATAACATTCGTTTCTAGTGATCGGTTTATCCCATAATAAAAATCACTTAATGCTAATTCTTAATTACGTCATTGAATCAGACAAAATGATTCTCACAATACCCTGACAAGAATTTAAATTTAATTTCATGTAAGGTTTTATATCACAAGATACAAATACGGACACATTGTGTCAGAAAAAAAAAACGTTTAAAATACATTAAAATTTTATAAAATTGTACAAAAACAGTCGAAGCTGATAATGAAATGAAGTCAGCTTTTAATGAAATTACAATAAAAAAATGTTTGAATCGATAAAAATGGTACAAAGCTACGAATATACTTCTAATAGTGAATAAATAATAAATAGATTAAAACTTACAGTCGGCCTGGTGGCCGAGTGATTAGCGTGCCTGACTGCGTAGCCATAGGCTGAAGGTTCGAATCCCGCTCTGGGCATGGATGTTTCTCTTTCTCTCTCTTTGTGCTGTTCTCTGTTGTGTGTGTATGATGTGTGAATGTGGCCCACCCTATAAACGGGTTTGTGGCAGTGTGGCGTGGGCAATGTTGCTCGCCTCCGTGACTTTGGTTCACAGGTGCCCACTGGGTAACGCAAAATGAGCAACAACTCAGTGCCTGTCATTGGGGGAAAAAAGATTAATACTTACATAGAATTTTAAATGCCAAAATCATGCATAGAAGCAGAAATGTTAGAATAATGGGGATCACCAAACGAATGCTCCATAGAAAAAAACAGAACTATTAAAAAAAGGTAGGACGACGTCGATTATAACACGGGCAAATGATTAAAATATGATGAATCGAAAGTAAAACGTTACAAGTGTTACTTTGAAGAGGTTCCTCAAATAACACGTGTGCGTGACGCTTTTTTTTAAAATCGGATTTGAAGTTTTCAAGTTTTAAAGTAAATTTTTTATTTTGGTGGATATGTTTGATGTATTTGAGTGTCTTATTGCGTATGAAGATTCCCTCTTGAAGATTTTGAATTGGTGAGTCTTTTTT